CTTATATGTATTTAAAAACCTGTAAATGAATGAAATATTCTGATCCCACGTTTCTTCAATTGTCTTGTAGACTCCCCACTGATAGGCTAACTTCCACGGCTTACTTTCAGATGGATACTTGCAGCAGCAGTGGCACTCCGAAACCAGCACCTCGAACATCGCTACAGCCTAAGCAACCGCAGTGGTCCGAAGTAGGCATGACGACTGACACAACTCCAGCGGCGCAGCCAGAAGAGGGAACCACCGATTTCAATCGATGCCGCCTGTGCGCACGAAATCACGCGTTGCGGGTATGCCAAGTGTTTCGCGCAATGCAGCCGACCCAACGTTATCTGGTCGCACGTGCACACAAATTTTGCACCAACTGCCTCGCCTTATCGCATCACAGCAAGGACTGTCCCTCCGCTGGAATCTGCAGGCTATGTGGTCANCAACTGCCTCGCCTTATCGCATCACAGCAAGGACTGTCCCTCCGCTGGAATCTGCAGGCTATATGGTCAGTGTCACCATACCCTACTTCACCGGAAGACGGCACTCAGCAAAAGCTCTCTGCAACACCACGCTCTAGCATCGCGCAAAAGGCCTTCCGCACATCGTCCCCACCGTCTACGCCGTACTGAACTCAGCTCTAACAAGCACAAGCACCAGCATATGGCGCAAAGTGCGGAGAAAATCAATACCACCACCCAGGGAATCCGCATCACCAAGGCGAATGAAAANCCTCCGCTGGAATCTGCAGGCTATATGGTCAGTGTCACCATACCCTACTTCACCGGAAGACGGCACTCAGCAAAAGCTCTCTGCAACACCACGCTCTAGCATCGCGCAAAAGGCCTTCCGCACATCGTCCCCACCGTCTACGCCGTACTGAACTCAGCTCTAACAAGCACAAGAGGGTGGCATATGGGGCAAAGAGCGAAGAAAATCAATACCATCACCCAGGAAATCCGCATCACCAAGGCGAATGGAAAGCTGTCCAGGAAATTGCTCCGGGATGCAATACGTAAACTGCGGGAGCTAGAGAACAGTATAGTCGCTTAGCGCGCCTAGGTGCGGGAGAATAGTTAAACGAGCAACGTCTGTCGTTTAACACCTTGCAACGTATATGTTTATTACCTGAATTAATGCGAATTTTCTTCAACAATTGAATTACTCAAACTTTGTAAACATATTTTCCTTCATTGAATTGTTAATTCTAAAAGTTAGATCATTTCAAAATTGTTAACACTAAACTTGAGTTATTCAAAAATGTTAAATCTTATATTCTTATGCCTTGCCTCACTACTCGGTACGAGGTGGTTGAAAGGGTAGATCAATTTCGTGCACCCAAACTTCCGCGGACTAATCCTTCGAACATAAGCTACTCGAGGCCAAGCCCCCCTAACAGTAGGCCATTCCCTAAACCCCCCACCTCTCAGAACTCTCACAACAACTCCTTTTCCCAAAACCGAGCGCATATGACGGAACAACGCACAAAACCATACAAATGCCCAATGTGCAATAAACCTCAACACACTCTCTCTCAGTGCTCCAAATTTCGTCAACTGCCAACTCAGGATCGCAGAAAGTTTGTGAGAGAACACAACCTCTGTTTTAATTGCCTATGTCAGACCCAATTGATAAAAGACTGCTCAAGTAAATATACTTGATCCCATTGTTAAGAACGGCATCACTCAATGCTTCATGAAGACACGCCCCCCATGCCGCCAAGACAGCAGTCTCGAACCCAAATAACGACATCTCAGGTCGCTCTGACGACGCCCACTAATTCCAACCCACAAAATTCAGCTGGGTCGGAAACAACTCATGAGGAGCCTTCTTCCTCAAATAGAGCAAGAGTACAGTCGTTCTACTCGGAAAATGAGAGCAAGATTCTCCTTCCCACAGCAATGGTGCCAGTTGAACACAGGGGTGAGATCTTCAAACTCAGAGCTCTCATAGATCAGGGTTCGGAACGAATTTTTATTTCCTCCAAAGCTCAAAACAAACTAAGGCTACCGTACCAAACTTCTAACTTTGAAATTTCTGGCATGGGAGGCAGAGTTGTTCAGACTTCGAACAAACTTTGCCATCTCATCTTAGCCTCCGCAGATTTGACCACGAAAATAAAGGCTCAAGCAATAGTACTATCCCAGTTAACGAAAATGCTTCCAAAATTCCAGCCAACTCTCGAACAACGAGAAAAATGGTCTCAACTCCAGCTAGCAGATACTAACTGCCACTCCCCGTACCAAATTGATCTGGTCATTGGCAGTGACCTCATTCCTGAAATAATGCTGGAAGGCATTGAGAAAATTTCCAAAAATTTGCTTGCACAAAACACCATATTCGGCTGGATCTTAAGTGGTCAATTTCCCGAAAAAATAGCCTGTTTCTCTACTCAAGCTACACCGATCTCCAATGAGGTTTTAGATTCCCAGCTGCGAAAGTTTTGGGAGCTAGAAGAGGTTCCGAAATCCAAGCTTACTACGCCTGATGATGAAAATTGTGAAAAATTCTATCAGTCCACCACCATACGAGCAGCGGAAGGTCGTTATGTAGTCAGACTGCCCTTTAAGCCAAGCTTCCCAGACCCTA